AGATGGAGTGGCCTCCGCCGCACGCGCTCGCCCTGGAGACGACGCTTGGGGGCATTCGGACCCCAACCCCCCGCCAGGAGACCGAGGCCTGGGAGGCACCGCCACTGGCCAGACCCAGAGCGTGCCGGGGCCTCCGGCACACGTGTGCACACGTGCATGCGTGCGATGAGGCCCTCTCTGTGGCTCTGGGTGCCGGGACTCCTCCCCCTGTGCCGCACGAAGGTGCGGGCGCGGCCAGGTCCAGCCCGCGAGCGCCGGAGCCCTGGAATGCGGACACGGCCCCCAGCGCGGACACGGACATCACGCCCACCACGGACGCAGCCCCGCCACAGACCCCGCCCCTGAGCACGGACGCGGACGTCATGCCCACTATGAACCCTGCCCCCAGCATGGTCACAGACATCATCTTCACCAAGGATGCAGCCCCCAGCACAGACCCCGCTGCCAGCACAGACTCCGCCCCTGAGCACGGACGCCGACGTCACGCCCACCATGGACCCCGCCCCCAGCACGGACATGGATATCATCCTCACCACGGACGCAGCCCACAGCACAGTCACAGTCCCCCGCTCGGACACAACTACCGAGGCCCAGCTCTCTCTGGGGACGTCCAAGCTGCCAGGCAGCAGGGACCACAGAAGGGACTCACGGACAGGCTCGGGGCTCACGGACAGGCTCGGGGCTCACGGACAGGCTCGGGGCTCACGGACAGGCTCGGGGCTCACACTGCATGCTGACAGCAGACTGGGAGGCCGAGTGATGGGAAGGCTTCCTGGAGGAGGTGGGTCTGAGCCGGCCTTTGGACAGGGAGATGGAAGGGAAACGGTGCACACGTTGGCTTGTGGGAGGACAGCTGGGGCAGGGACAGGGTTGTTGGCACAGGGGCAGGAAAGGTGAGTGAGGGGTGAATGCCAGGAGGGGCATTTGGCCAACGCCGTGTGCCTGGCCCTGGCTCACAGGAGGCACCCAATCCGCCAGAAAGAACCAACAAATCGCAGGCCTGCTCCCAGCACCCCACACACCTGCTGGACCCCATCGGTCACCCCTCCTGCTGCCCTCTTCCCACCTGAAGGCCAAACCCGATCACAGGACACTGGAGACACAGGGGTGGCAGCCAGCTGCAGCCAAGTGCCCAGGGCCAGCCAGCGTGTACGCTGCCCTCCAAGGCGCCCACGCCTGATGCCTCCAGGCCACCTGCCGCCTGGGCCGAGCTCAGGGTAGCTGCCGTCACACGCAACAAAGACGGGCCACGTCTAAGCCCCCGGGACTCCACCATCGATCTCTGCGGAGTGTCCATCCCCCGCCCCCATGCCCCTAGACGCACTGGCCCCGGGGCTTGTTACAGGCCTCTCACTCCCTAACCAGGAGGAAGCACCACGCTTCCCGTCTGCGTGGAAGAGGTCCCCCCACTCCCATCCCCACCCCCCGGGAACAGGGAGCAATGAGATGGGACAGCCAAATCCTGGGGTTTGCTGAGGGCCGGGTAGGGTCAGAAGCATCGACGGGGAGAGGATGGGGGTAGAGGTCCAGCCCAGACCCACAGAGAAAGATGGGGTCACGGGGGTGCGGCGGGGAAGGTGCAGCCATCATTACAGACAGAGGAACAGAGATAAGCAGCAGCCAAGAGACACAGGCAGAAGGAGACTCCAGTGAGGAGGCCGGACGCCGGCTGGAAGGGGCCGAGCAGAAACACAAGGGGGAGAGAACCCGACTCAGCAACAGATGAGAAAACGGAGGGCAGGACCCCTCCCCCGGCCCGGACGGGCGGAGGGGCTGGACGCAGCCATCATTACAGACAGAGGAACAGAGATAAGCAGCAGCCAAGAGACACAGGCAGAAGGAGACTCCAGTGAGGAGGCCGGACGCCGGCTGGAAGGGGCCGAGCAGAAACACAAGGGGGAGAGAACCCGACTCAGCAACAGATGAGAAAACGGAGGGCAGGACCCCTCCCCCGGCCCGGATGGGCGGAGGGGCTGGACGTGGTCGCAGAGGCCGGGGATAAGGCCGCCCGCCCCGGAGGCTGGGCTGCGAGGGGCCGGTCCCATCGCCGGCCACCGTTTCCACGTTCAAGGGCACAATGGACAGGAGATGTGTCACCTTCCCGGGACATGCCACAGCCCCGCGAGCTCCGAGTCACGGCCCCCCCAAACCTCCCCAGCCTCGCAGCTCCGTGGAGAAGCCTCCAGGGCAGGGCCAGGCCTGGCGGACTCCGCTGCCTGGCCCCGTGCCCAGGGGCCGGTCCTCCCCACGGCCGCTGCCAGGGTCCCAGGCGTGTCGGGGCTCACCGTTAGGGAGTGTCTGCTTCCTCTCTCTGAGCCCCGAGTCTGAGGACGGTGGCCTCCGGGAACCACGCAGGTCCAGTCACACCTGTACCAGGTTGGGGTTCAGGAGACGAGCCCGGCCTTGCCGGCCCCCACGTCCGGCTCTTTCCCCGGCACCCCTGCCTAGCACGTCTCGGGGGCTCCTCCTGGGAAGCCGCACAGTGCCCTGGGCTTCAGTCAGGGCTGAGCTGGGGCGGGGGGCTCCGGTCTGTCACCGGCTGCTGTTGAAGGGCATCACTGTTCCTGTCCTAGCCCTCACCGGGAATGCACCTGCCAGAACCTGGGTACTGGACGAGCAACACCTCTGATGGGTCGCAGACTCCTCATCAGACACGGTGCCTGCAAGGACCGTGGCAGCTGGCCGGCCAGAGGCCCTGGCCGGGAAGGCCCCGATTCCTGCCCAGTGTGACAAGGCAGGAGCTTTGCCTCCCAAAGGGCTGTGCTGGGTTCCACGGCCCACAGGGGCATGACGAGCCCAGCAGGGCACCTCTCCAGCCTTGGTCTCCGCGTCTGTAAGGGCGGGTCACCCGCTGTGTGCCGGACACTGCCAGCTGGGAATGAGCAAGAAGCCCATCCGGCTCCTGAGGAGCCAGCGGGCCAGAGAAGGGGGTCCGCTGGCTCCAGCCCGGGCGCAGGACAAGGACCCGTGGCACTCCCCACCAGCCCGGCACCATGGGACAGTACCGCTGGCCGGGGTCAGCTCACGGTCCTCCCGCCCAGCCACAGCCCTGGAGGCGCCCTCGTCAAGGCCTGTCACTTCCCACGTTCTTATTTCTCTCTTGGGATGGCGAGGCCCTAGCAGCTCCTTCCTCCGTCCTCGGCCAGGACGTGCAGGCCAAGTGGGTGGGACAGGAGTGCTTGTTGGGGACGCGACTCCCGGCTGCTCTCCAGACAGAGGCGAGATGAGCCACAACAGCCAGGGTGGGGGGGGCAGGCTCAGCCAGCGGCAAGGGACGCCTCCGTACCTGTGACACACGGAGCACGCG